ATTCTGTAAACAAAATGAACTTAATTGTAAATGTTGTAAAAAGTCAAGGAGTAATGTGTAATTATGTGAAAATAGGTTTATTAGGTCTATGGTTCGAGTATGACAAAAGAAGGAAAATACGGCGCAAATTTTCGTTAGACTGTCGCCATGGATTGGCTCGAGCGTAAAAAACAGAACCTCTATTGCTTGACTGTAGCCCTGCTTTGGCTCGAGCGACAACCTGTCGCTCAACAGTTGCTGAGCTCTCGCTCGAGCGACATGGTTGTTTGGAAAAAATTTATTTCTCGATTTAAAAGCTTTTTCCCTGGCCAATTACTTTTCTAACCTACCTATAAATATCAAAACACATCTAAACGTGAATTTCAAGGTTGATCATTGAGAGAACTTCATTTGAGAGAATACAATCATATTCTTACTTTCAACCTTCATCTTATGAGTTTGTTTTGCTGAGAAAAATATCGATTTCATACTCCAAATACCAAACTGTTCTTTTCATCACATTNTGAGTTTGTTTTGGTGAGAAAAATATCGATTTCATAATCCAAATACCAAACTGTTCTTTTCATCACATTTGTCAAAGTTGATGAAGATCGATGGAAGTTGACTGGAAGTTCCAATCGTTGAAGAACGCGGTGTTCTTCGTGGATCCACAGAAGATAAACGATTCCACAAAATTAGGAGTTGCTGCAGGAAAGCACAATCCAGGAGAGTTTTGAAAACTGTAGTTGGGAGTAGTTCGGGAGCACATAATTCAGGAAAGCTGTTGGAATTGTAGTAAGGAGATCAGATAGTATGTGTCGTCATCTAGGCTGGTAGACTGTAAGTTACAAATCGTTTATAGGGGATTGTTAATTGGCAAAGTGTCCGAAGTTTTTCCCAGTTGGGTTTCTCCGTGATCATACCGTGTGTTGATTTACTACTTTATTTATTGTTTATATAATTTGCGGTAATCAAACATAGGATTAATCTAACGTGATTGTTTGACCATCTAGAGATAACAATTGGTGACTTGTTGCTAATTTGTTATAATAATTTTAATTCGCATAATATACAGTGATTTGTTGTTAATTTGTTATAACATTTTTAATTCCACATAATATACTTATTCACTTCCCTCTAAGTATTGTTAGGGTCGAACTATGTAACTTTCAAATGATAAAGGTAAATCAAGATATAAGTCTAAGCCAGTAGGTAAGAAATGCTATAGTTGTGGTAATCTGGTTACTTCGTTAGGCCCTTGTTTGATTCTCATTATTTTTAAAATACATTTTTATCTCTCTTCTTGTCAATCACACTATTCAATAAAATATATTACACACTAATCCAATTTTTTTTCTTATTTTTAACTACACATTCTCCACTAATCTACTAGTCTAAAAGGCATTCTCACAATAAAATGAAACTCAAACAAGTTCTAAATATTATTATGAAAAAACAGAAAGAGAAAGTAAGACATGAAGCGAATGTAGTATCTTCTTCTAGTTCAAACACCAGCAATGTTTATGTTTTAATAAACATGTTGATGACTCTATTGAATTGAATATGTTTATGAAATATAATTTACATAAATAGATACTTGATTCCGGTGCATATTTTCGTGTTGCATCTATAGAAATTGGTCTAATAATTTGCACAAATCTGTTATAAGTCATGTTGTTATGTGTAAAAATATTGCAATTCAAAATTGATAGGAATTATAAAAATTAACTCGTAGATTTGAGAATGGAAATCATAAAAATTATAGAGGATGCTTAAGTAACTTGCAAGGAAATTAATAATAATAAAAAAAAGGAATATATATTACCATTGTCAAAGTGATTAAAGGTTTGGATTCCTTTTATCTCTTCTATCAACACACAACACAATCAAGCCGTGCACTAAGCTTGCACACGTGAGTGACAAGGGGATTAAGTTCTTTAGTGACAAAAAAAATGTTTTTTAGTGATAAATTTCTCTGCCTTTGTTTGACCATTCTTTCAGCATTAATCAGAAAAAATAGTCGTCGAATTGAACGATTTTGTGTGAAAACATGTGCTTTGACCACTCAAATTTCCACAAAAACGCAGCCAGAGAATAATACGTAATTGATATTTCTTCGTTTCAAACTAAAATTTTTAATTTTTATTAATTATTATTAGAAATATCAAAAAAATAAATATCAAGCACGGAAGAGAGTGAAAAATAAAAATCTTCTAATTTTTAGTACTATTCAACCACCAAAAAACAATAATTCTACATCCAAAGTTTAAATATTACAGTTTGAGTATCAATCTTGAATTCATGATTGCTTTTGGTGCGACATTGTTAGGTGGAAAATCGTGTTTTCAGTCATGCATATGTACCTAGGGACCAAAATAATTGAGCATTGCGTTACCTAAATATTTAGTTTGAAATGAAAATAATTAATTTTGTTTTTTCTTGATACGAATATAAAAATTAAGAGAATACATTATAACGCAACCACAATGACGAGGAATAAGGTTTATCGTTTTTTAAGAATATCAACTATAATTAACAAAGAATAAAAAGATTGTCTGAATAACGTGGAATAATATTTAATTTTTAATTGGATTCTAGAAATGCGACAAGTACATAAGAAGAATTTTTTTTATTTTTTATTATTCTCTTTTATCAGTTTTTTTTTTAATATTAAGCCATGTTTGGTTTTATTAAAAAAAATTGATAAAAATTTAAGTCAAAATCAACAGTTGATTTTAATTATAAAAAATTCAACCACAAATATCATATATCAAAATATATTAAAAATCTCATTTTTAGTAAAAACCAATTGAGCTAAATGTTATTGGGTGACTTTTTTATTTGTTATGAGTCTAGGTACAAGTGCACAATTATATTATTTTTCAACAGCAGAATTTGTGAAAAAAAATTATTTTTCACACTTCCCAATAGCTTTTTCTCATCTTCAACCATGCATTCTCAGATAAACCACTTTTTTAAATAATCATTTCGCCCACAAACACTTAATTAAGTGAAAAGTAGATCATGCTTCTCTTAAGAACACTTGCATAGCATTGTTTTCTATCCATTTTTATTCACTAAAATATTGATGAAATTGTGAGAGTTTTCTTCAATTTCGTGATTCTAAGTTTCGATAATTGTGTGCAAATCAAGTTTTTAATACTTAATTCTAACATTCTTAAGAATCAACAAAAAAATATGAAGTGGTTATGCTCGAAATTATCATAAAATCAACTTGACTTTGATTGCATCTCCGTCCATCATTTCATTTTATATTTCCATCCACACTAGAAGTTGAATGGAAAGTCACGTGAATTTCAATTAAACCATCCATGTTTGATCATAGAGATTAAAATCAAATTTTTAGCAGGTTTTAATGAAAGTTAACAAAATGTATGATTGAAAAGTTGTGGATCCTATGAAATGTATGGTTAAGATTAATTGTTCATTTTAACTTAAAATTTAATAAGTTTTTTTAGTGATACCAAACAGGGGCTAAGATAATTTGCAAAAGTCATCAATATTTTTGGTCATGCATTTACAATTCCCTTTTTTTTTCAACTGTACTTGCACTTCACGGCTCCAAACGTAGGGTAAAGATTTCTATTTAATATATAACTATAGCTACCAGTCTTCATTCCAACCTTTAGTTGAGAATCTCGCAAACCAAATTATTATTATTTTCCATCCTCTCTCTCTCTCTCCCTCTCATGGAGAATTTTCAAACCCTATTTCAGTCATCATCTTCAAGTTCTCATTTATCCTTATTGAACATGGTAAATTCTCAAGCACAAGCTCAACTCCAAGATCATGACAAGGGAAATGGATACTCGAGCCTCGCGACAAGTATGGAAATTCCTGATTCGAGTATTTTAGGTGTTACTCAGAGTAACAGCCTTCCCGAGGTGGAAACTGAGGCGGAAATAGGTAAGAAAAGGGGAGAGAAGAAAGCAACAAAGCCTAGATATGCTTTTCGAACAAGAAGCCAAGTCGATATACTTGATGATGGATACAGGTGGAGAAAATATGGCCAGAAGGCAGTCAAGAACAACAAATTTCCAAGGTTTTTTTTCTTGTTTAATTTATAATTTACTATATATAAAAATTAGGAGTGTATATTTGGACTTAAATGAAGAAAATAATTAATATGCAGACAAATTGAAAAACTTCTTATATATTGTAGCCACATTAAATTTCCTATAACTAAAATGTGTACTTTTTAATTAGTATGAGTTTTCAATATTTTAATTGAATTAACTATTTTTTTAAATCTAGATTATTTGTGAGATTAACTCTACTAATTAAAATTATCTAGATAGTTAATGATGTATTATACATGAAATTATCATGTACAAATGTTTAGGTTTTTTAATATGTTGACAACAAACTTATTCTGAAAAAGGTATAGTTTAGAGGTCAGTAACTAAAAATAAATTTTCTAGATAAATCGTACATTGCTTGTTATTGGTATAAATAAATTTAAATTCATATATTTTGTTTTTGCATTTTGGGCAACAATATGTAATATAATTTTTCTTTGTAACTAATTATTGCTTGACAACTTAAGAATGGAGAAATTAAATTATTTCTTGCTAGACAGCAGCAGCAAATATAAATTATCCAAAGCTTACAAGTACTTTTAGTTATTTCTTCCTTCCATAATTAGGTCTAAAATGCAATGCTGTATGTACTTTTATTTCATTATGAGCTTTAAATGATTTATCTGGTAATATAGACTTAACAGTACTACACAAACAATTCTGCTAGAAAAATAAGCTCAATGACAGACTTTGTGACACACATGCACTCGGCAAATTTTCATAAAGTAATGTTATTCATCCTCACTGGGGTTAAGCCCCAATCTATATGGCAATTACATTGTATTAAATGATAGATTCATTTAAATACAAAGTCACATGACTCATTTAATTGAGTCTATCATTTAATGTCATGTAATTGTCACATAGAGTGAGACTCAATTCCAGTGGGGATGAATAACATTTTTCATTTTCATATGCAGTTAAACCAAAAATTGCCAAGCCAGTCTCTCAAAAAATGTCGTGTCGTTGAACCTGTTCAAGCAACATTATTCCTACACAAAATTATTGAAGAAAAAGTTAAAATCTTATCTATTATATTGTCCAATATTATATCATCTACCTTATGAGATATATTCTGAATGTCATGCAATCCTCCACACCAATGATTATGAGTAATTGAAGCAAAGAATTAGTAATGAACTCGCCTGATTTTTTATACATGTAGAAGTTACTATCGATGTACGTATCAAGGTTGCACCGTCAAAAAGCAAGTCCAAAGGCTATCTATAGATGAAGGAATAGTAGAGACAACCTATGAAGGGATGCATTCACACGCAATTGAGAAGTCTACTGATAACTTTGAGCACATCTTAAGCCAGATGCAAATTTTCCCTTCAGTTTGAATCTTGGGCTTCTCAAGTATATTCAAAATATATCGAAGATGTGTAATTTAATGTAGATATTTCAATAAGTTGTATACCCTAAATGGGTTAGACTTAGCTTTCCATATAAAAAACGTTGTTCATTTATTTTTACTTGATATTAAGGATATTAAATTTGATAGGTCTATATTTGTAATTAGCTATTCCTTAGATAAAATTAAAGTAATTGAGTTTTAATTAAAATCAAAATAGTTAAGGGTTGGTTGTATAGTCCTTGGAGGAATCAAATATATCCTAGAAGATTACATTTGACTAATGGAATGCATTTAGAAGTCAAAGGAGTGTCAATATGTTGCACAAGTTCTGCTTCAAATTTTCAGTTACAAGCTGCGGTGCATTTTTCACATAGACAAAATTCGAATTTCCAATGTTTTATTTCTAGAAGAATTGTAGCCCTTTGAATTAGTTTTTCAACAAACTTTAAATCACCTTAATCGGATATCGGAAAATAATGTTATGATGAAAATATTTACCGCTGCGCAGAAATCGTTCACTAGCCACCCACTTGGTGCTCGAGTGACGGTTCAACAAACAGAAATCGTAGTTCACATATAACTGTTATTTTTCTATCACAATCAACCTATAATACTTCCATTTAAATATACAAGTCATGGAACGTTCCAAAGTGTGGTTGGACATTATATTCACCATAGAGATAATTCTATGAAGATCATAAACTCATTCCAAAAGATCTTTTGATTCAATCATAAATATATTTTTCATATTTGTTCCCAAATATTGTATTCCATTGATTGAGCCTTTGTTTTAAGTCAAAAGAACGTTCTTTGAAGATTCATTATATATTTCAATAAATTTCTTGCCTTAACCATGGATCAAAACACAAAATTCAAACAACAAACAAAACCCTACCTTCACCTATAAATCTTCAGAGTTCTGAAGTTTGGAGAAGAGGCTCTTGGAGTTATGGCTTTGAAGAACAAGGTTTGTTTCTGATGATCCAGTGGAGAGAAAAGTGTCCCAAAGTTAGGGGAAGTGCAGACGTGCACAATCAAATGAATTCCTTGGTGATTTACAAGTTAGGTGGTTAGAGTGAGCTCAAGTTTAACAGCGTTTGCACTAATTGTAAGCTAACTTTTCTAGTGGATCGTTTACTGGCAAGTTTGCATAGAGGTTTTTGATCTCGAGTTGGGATTTTCCTTCGTGATAAATTCTTGGTGTTATTTATTTTATTGCTTTAATATGAATATTTATTTGATTGACACTTATGATTAATTTAATTTAATTGAATTAAATACTTTACTCATCTAGAAACATTAATAAGTAACTTGGTGCTTGTTATTGTTTTAATTCCGCATTTGGGTCTAAAATATTTGGCTAATTAAACTCTCAAGTGGTATTAAAGCTTAATAGTACTGTTCCTTGCCCCCAAAATTTTTATCTACATAGGTCAATTACTTTCTGATTCTGAATTTGAGTGTGATATGGATATTGGGGAGTCTTATGATCGGTTGTTTGAGGAGTGTCTTAAGTTGAAAAAGACGAATCACGCTGTCTTTAAAATTTTCATAATATTGAATTAGAAAATGAGAGTCTTGTAGCCAAATTAGAACTAGAGGAGATTCATACTGTAATAAAAAATATATATATATTTAATACCGCTTAATTTTCTAAAAACAAGTTTATACCTTCCTTGATAAATTGTAAAGTTCAACACTTGAAACCTAGTGTTGCTCCTAGGTTTATCCTCACGTGTCATTATTATGGTAAATTAGGATACATAAGATTTAGGTATTTGAACTCTTAAGTAGGAATGAGACTAAGGGAGTAGGAGCCCTATGACAGAAATCATGTGTACAACGTAGGTTTTTCCCACCTAAAATTCAAAATTTGAAATCTAGGATTACTCTTAAATTCATTCTAACGCGTCACAATTGTGATAAGTTAGGTCACATTAGACTTAAATGTCGTAAATCCTTGATTAGAAATAACAAAAAATATCTGAATACTCAAGTTAGATTCTTGATTAATCAAATGAGTTACTTGATCGAGTTGATGACTTAATTGACTAAGATTATATCTTCTTTTAAGAAGATTTGAGTTAGAAATAGTGAACTCAAATGTCAAAGTGATGATTTAAATTATGGCATGGATCGCGTTGCTTTTCTTGGTAGGAGCACTTGTGTTACTCATTTATGAGACATTTAGGTGCATGCATTTGCATCATTCATGGTCTTTACATATACATCATGCACTATATTTTTTGTTATTGCATTTTTTTCTTTTTTCCTTAAATGAAAAACAATAAAAATTTGAATAATTGAAAAAAGATTTTTAATGATTAATATTATGTGACATGTTATTTTGTGAAAAGTACTATTAAAATTTATGAATAGTGAATAAAGTTTCCATTGACTATATTTACAACTTATTTGGAGTACTTGTGTAGGTTATTTCATGTATAATCTGCATTGCACACATTAAGTTCTTGTGAGTGAGTCTTGACCACGTGTGCAAGATTTGAGATGATGGTTATTGGTGTAGTGAGTTGACTTTGAATATGAGTTGATATTTAACTAACATAAACTCTTGTATATTCTCCTAAAAGAAAAATTATTATTGAGCTTAAAAAAGAAAAATATTTGAATTACATTAAATTGTGAGACATTTTATATTTTTCTTCGTAGTCTATTTGACTCGAGTGATTAAGCATATATGGTATCTTAAAACTTGTTGCCTTATAAATCATCTAACTTTGGAGTCAACGACTTAAAGCTCATTATTGTGGTTATTTAGAAAGTATAATGAAGAAGAGTCTGCACATAAGATGAAAAAGAAAATAAAAGAAAAAAATATACATGTGCTCACAAATAGAGGGAGAAATAAACATGATGCGGACATCAGATTTATTTATTTTATTGTTATTGGATTCTATTAATTATGTCTTCATTTTATTGGGTTTGTCGTAACGGGCTGGCCCAAGGCCCTTTTATGCATTAGGTTTTCTCGTTTTCTTCTATTTATATGAATTGTATTGAACACTGAAAGAAGACGATGGTTGATTAAAATTGAGATTGGCCGTTGCCAAGTTTTCTCCTTCCCTCCCCCTTTCTTCTCTCGCCATCTTCTTCCTCTTGCTTCTTCACGGCTTCTTCTCCCTCTCTTCTACTGCTATTTTCTTCCGACAATTCTAATTCTACTATTGTCCTGCATCAAATTGGTATCAGAGCTAAACCTGGATTCCATCCTCAATTTACATCCGAGAAAACCCACAGCCACAGTCAACTCCTGGAAGCAGTCCATAACGCAACCAATTCGTCCAGTTCAACAATCCCTCCAAGTTAACGCAACAGATTTCTTCCAAAAACTCACTGCACCGCTCCATCCACACAACCACTTCATCAATCAACCAACGGCACCGTAGAAATTACCGCCGCCACAGTCATCTCTTC